AAATTTTAATAGAAATAGAAATAAGATAAAAAAATGATTGAGAATATAGTGATAAAATGTTAAAATGATTAGAACAATGTAAAATTAGTTTGTTTTGATGAATAATGTAAAGAAAATAGATTATATTGTATGTAATGCAGTAGAAATGGAATACATTTTTCACATCCTTAACATCAATATGAATTACCAAATTTATTTGAACATATTGAAAAAGTTGATTAAGAATGTGATCATTTTATTATTAGGTTGTAATAATTTATGGATTCTATTTAACAAACATTTAATTAATTAATTACAGGAATCAGAAATAAATATCAAAGATCCAAAGAATAATTCCTAAAATTAAATTCTAATTAAATGAATTCTTTTTTTGCAGAAACTATCCTATTTGAATCAATTGCACCCAAAATTCAAACATAAATGGCTGAATCTTCAAATCATTTTCAAGATTCATTAAAATCTTTATATTAAGACTTAAAATTAATTTAATTGAATTATTCTTAAATATCAGATAAAGATATCCAAATATCAGAACAATTATATTAGAAAGGTATTCAAAATAATAATTTAGGTTTTAAATTATATTGGAATGAGCATAAAGATGAAGAAGCTATAAAAGTGTTTGATGAAGCATTAAATATCAATCCTTAACATTAATTATCATTATGGTGTAAAGGTAGAATCACTATTATATTTGTTAGCGGAAAGTTTAAGGATGCTTGGTTAATATAATGAAGCAATTAGATGGGCAGATAAAGCTTTGGAGATAGATCCTAAACATTGTAATTCATTGAATACCAAAGGTAGAATCACTATTGTATTTGTTAGCGGCAAGTTTAAGGATGCTTGGTTAATATAATGAAGCAATTAGATGGGCAGATAAAGCTTTGGAGATAGATCCTAAACATTGTAGTTCATTGTTTACCAAAGGTAGAATCACTATTGTATTTGTTAGCGGCAAGTTTAAAGATGCTTAATTAATATAATGAAGCAATTAGATGGGCAGATAAAGCTTTGGAGATAGATCCTAAACATTGTAATTCATTGTTTACCAAAGGTAGAATCACTATTGTATTTGTTAGCTGATAGTTTAAGGTTGCTTGGTTAATATAATGAAGCAATTAGATGGGCAGATAAAGCTTTGGAGATAGATCCTAAACATTGTAGTTCATTGTTTACCAAAGGTATTAATATTTCTAAATAATAAAGGGGATTCGTTAAGTGAATTGAAAAAATATAAAGAAGCCATGGAAGTCTTAAATTAATCTTTATCAATAAATTCTAATCACTTTGATTCTTTATGGGCTAAAGGTAGATTATTTTATTCATTTTAGGATTTTGTTTACAAAATCAAAATTAATATTCAGAAGCTTTGATATTTTATGATAAAGCTTTAAAGATTAATTCAAATCATTAGTGGATTTAAAATAGGAAAAGTATATTTTTATAATTTAAAATTAAGATGAATGCTTAGAAGCTTTAAAAAAGAAATGATAATATACAATACA